AGCCGGGGGTTAAAAAATCTACATTGAAAAAAACCCATGATATATCCCTTTCTGTTTAATTTGACCGTTGCTGGCAGAGTCGAAGCAGCCTGCCTCCTTAAAAATTCAAATCGTGTCCTTTGAGGGGACGTAAAACATACACAAATCATTACAATGTTATGGAGGAGAATACTGCACAGAAACAGTGCTTAAACGGTGTCTGTGGCATAACGAGTATAAGCACTTCGCCGTCACGCGCAAAAGACATGAGTTCGATTCCCTTGTAGGGGTAGGTTGAGTTTTTGTGTTTGTTTTGTTTCTGTTTTTGTTTTTGTTTGGTTTTAAATCGAGCATCTTCGTCTGTCTGCTGGGACGATAATAAATATCCATCTAAGCCTGTTTTGGCGCTAACAGATGGGGTTGACACAGCCACTCTCCTAAATTCGGAATTAATTGTCGATGGGGACGTATAATATTTACAGTTCTCAGCGCAAAAAGTAACTGCAGAATTGTAGTTAAAGACTGTTAATAATATGGTCTTTCACACTGCCATAAACATGAGATTCCTGTCTAGCTATCTATATCTGTCTGTCTGTCTGTTTGTCTGTCTGTCTGTCTGTCTGTCTGTCTGTCTGTCTGTCTGTCTGTCTGTCTGTCTGTCCGTCTATCTATCTATCTATCTAGTTGTAGTTTAATGCAGGTCGGCATGAAAATTACACCGCAGCAGTTATACTTGCCTATGATTCCCACACCTCCATCAGCACAATTCAGATTATCCGTCTGGGCCGACCCGAGCTGAGACGTATACAACGTCCTGACAGAAATACAGAGATACACGATACAGTCTTCCCACTCAGAAATCGAACCCATGTCTTTTGCGTGCGACGATGAAGCGTCTACCCGCTATATTATATACACCAGTAGGAAGAAGAACAAGAAGCAGACCACACCGAGTGCCACTCATTCATCAGGCGGGAGAGGATAGAGGGCGTCACTGTTGCAACAGCGGTCTTATTGTCTTTATTTAGTCTAAAATTATCGTATAGTATTGATATGGATTAATCCAAGAAATATAAGATTTTTTTTTAATGCTGTCGCTGTTGAAATGGACGTTTACTTGTGTTGCTTTTGAGATTTTGAGAAAACGTAACGGGCGACCACTATGAAATAGATAGAGGATTAGGGTTATTTTTTGGGTTTTGTATTAGGAAGTGATTTATGGCGCTCGCAACTGCATAAGGTCATATGAGCGCACGGGACACTTAAAACATGTTTAGTTCGGTAGGAATTACTTTTGAATTTTCCCCAGGTGGTAGCCGAAGCCTTCTCTTATTGATTTTAGACCACCAAGGGATCTTTAACATGCGCAACTTGCACATGGGACCTCCGAGATTTTTCACCCTTATGTGAGAAGGCTAGATGTTAGATGTTACCTACCCGAAGATCAGGGTTTTGGCTGAAAGACAGCAGTAAGAAATGAGTAAAGGAGTAGCAGTAAAAAGGCTACAGTAGAAAGAATCAGGAGCCTGTAGGAGGGGGCAAAGAGAGAAAAAAAGGGAGGAGAATGG